CACACACACAACACACACACACACGACATACACAAACACACACACACACAGACATACACACAGCCACACACACAGACACACACAGCCACACACACATGTATATATATAATATAACATAATACATACCTCTTTGTTAAAATGTCAGTATCCATCTCTCAATAATGCGAATACTCTGCCGGTGTCACACTCGCACAGCAGTAGTTGTTTTGGCGAAAGAATCCGTATTTTTCTCAGCACCAACTGACGTAGACCAAGGAGTTAATATGAGTTAATATGCTGTCAATTAGCAGTGTTTTTTTTTCTCTATTCGCTCAATAACAAAGGAAAATATTATCGTCTAATAACTATCGTAGGTACTTTGATCACGCATAATCTAGCGTTGAATAGAATCTTCGCCTTTAAACGTTATTGCAGTAAGGGTGAAAATATTATGAAACAACACTCCCTAACTGGTTGTGGAAAAGCAAGTTACAGTAACTGTTATATTTGAGGCATTTATTTATAAACATTTTTATATTTTCATTATAATTGAACAACGGCTGCCAGTGAAGTGGCTGAATGAACTAGTTTCGCCTGTAAAATTGCAGAAATAAAAAGGACGCTAAGAGAGAGAGAGAGAGAGAGAGAGAGAGAGAGAGAGAGAGAGAGAGAGAGAGAGAGAGAGAGAGAGAGAGAGAGAGAGAGAGAGAGAGAGAGAGAGAGACAGACATACATGCATATATCCAAACGTCTATCTATCTATCTCTATCTATATCTATTTATCTATCTATATCTACATCTCTCTCTCTCTCTCTCTCTCTCTCTCTCTCTCTCTCTCTTCTCTCTCTCTCTATCTCTCTCTCTCTCTCTCTCTCTCGTCGCTCTAATATATATATATATATATATATATATATATATATATATATATATATATATATATATATATATATATATATATGTATATTATATATATATATATATATATATATATATATATATATATATATATATATATATTATATATATAAGTTCCACACAGCTCATCTGTACGCTGCAGGAGCCTCTTTTGCCTTCCGGCCGAAGTGTTCGAGTTCTCCATCTTTCTTACCCCCCTCCCCCTCCTGTTCCCTTAAGCTACTCCTTCTGTCTTCCATTCCTCCTTTTTTTTCCCCCTCCATCTCCCCGTCTTCATCCCGACTTCTTTTT